TATAATATATATAGTCCAACTTGAGGGGGAGTGTTAAGAATAATAGAGTAGTAGTATGTGTAAATTGTTAATAGTAAAAGAGATGTATCTGTTATTATTATTATTGTAAGTTAACTATAAATACAAGTTATGTATGAGAACTAGGTTAAGTTTTTTAACCTCTCTCTTTCTCCCTAATATTGCCTCTAATATTGTGTTATATTAATTCTCTTAACTTAACATANTCCCTATGGATCCGAATCATAAATTATTAATGGATGATGGTGTATTGTTTGAGAATTCGGGTCGGTATCACAGATTGGTTGGGAAGCTTAATTATCTCACTATTACTCGACCGGATATTTCCTATGCAGTTAGTGTAGTAAGTCAGTTCATGGGATGCCCTAGAGTACCACATTGGGAGACAGTTACTCGTATTCTGCGATATCTCAAACGAGCTCTTGGACTTTGACTGTTATATCGAGCTAATGGACATTTTAGAGTGAAATATTTCTCAGATGCTAATTGGGCTGACTCTCCTTCTGATCGGAGATCAACCACTGGTTATTGTACTTTCCTAAGAGGTAATGTTGTCTCATGGAAAAGTAAGAAACAACCCGTGGTAGCAAGATCCAGTGCTGAGGCTGAGTATAGGGCAATGACACATACGATAAGTGAGTTGACTTGGCTACTGCACTTCCTCCAGGAAATTAATTTTTCAGTTCAACTTCCTTTACAGTTGTTCTGTGACAACCAGACAGCTATCCATATCGTCGTCAATCCTGTGTTTCATAAAAGAACTAAGCATATTGAGGTTGACTGTCACTTTATTCGGGATAAGATAGTAGCCGGGGAGATTACAACTCCATTTGTGAAATCTGAAAATCAGCTTGCAGATATGTTTACCAAAGCATTGAGTTGTACACGCCTTACAATTATTTGTTCCAAGCTTGGATTATATAATATATATAGTCCAACTTGAGGGGGAGTGTTAAGAATAATAGAGTAGTAGTATGTGTAAATTGTTAATAGTAAAAGAGATGTATCTGTTATTATTATTATTGTAAGTTAACTATAAATACAAGTTATGTATGAGAACTAGGTTAAGTTTTTTAACCTCTCTCTTTCTCCCTAATATTGCCTCTAATATTGTGTTATATTAATTCTCTTAACTTAACATAGAGTATGAATTTTCTGATGACATCAGGAATCTTCAAACCTCATCTGATGAAGAAAATCATCATCACAAAAGGAGGCATCTTGTTTTTAATCCAAATAAGCATATGAACAATCCACAGTTTGCAGTTGGTATGTTATTTGCCTCAGCTAAACACTTCAGAGATGCTGTAAAGGAGTATTCCATATTGAATAGGAAGGAAATAAGCTTTGTGAAGAATGATAAATGGAGAGTCAGAGCCAAGTGCAAGCCACCATGTAAATGGATGGTGTTTGCATCTANTTGGACTTTGACTGTTATATCGAGCTAATGGACATTTTAGAGTGAAATATTTCTCAGATGCTAATTGGGCTGACTCTCCTTCTGATCGGAGATCAACCACTGGTTATTGTACTTTCCTAAGAGGTAATGTTGTCTCATGGAAAAGTAAGAAACAACCCGTGGTAGCAAGATCCAGTGCTGAGGCTGAGTATAGGGCAATGACACATACGATAAGTGAGTTGACTTGGCTACTGCAATTCCTCCAGGAAATTGATTTTTCAGTTCAACTTCCTTTACAGTTGTTCTGTGACAATCAGACAGCTATCCATATCGCTGTCAATCCTGTGTTTCATGAAAGAACTAAGCATATTGAGNGTTGGATTAGATGGATGTTTTCTGAAAGGAACATATGCAGGGCAATTGCTATCAGCAGTAGGGGTTGAAGCAAATGACAAGATGTACCCTTTTGCATATGCAGTAGTTGAAAAGGTAACAAAATCATCATGGACTTGGTTTGTACAACTACTTTGTGCTGACATTGGGCTTGCAGACCAGTCTGAGTGGACTATTATTTCTGACCAACAAAAGGTAATAGCAGTTTAATGCATACTATGTATTAATTTACATACATACTATGTTTGATTCTACATTTGAAATGATACCATTTTAATGCACTTTGAGTTTTCCATTTCTAGGGTTTGGTGCCAGCAATTCATGACCTTCTGCCAGACTGTAAGCATAGATTTTGTGCAAGACACCATCTCAGTAACTTTAAAAAGGAGTATAGGGGTAAGTTGTTTTCTCAACTATTTTGGAAATGTTCCAAAGCAATCACTTTGGAGTACTTTAACAAATACGTGGGAGATATGAGGAATGTAGATAAAGGGGCATTTAAGTGGTTAGATTCAGGTGTCCGACCTCAACATTGGTGCAGGGCATACCTTTCCACTAGTAGAATATGTGATATGTTGATAAACAACAATTGTGAGGTATTCAATAGTGTCATAGTAAAGGCAAGAGAGAAACCCATTATTACAATGCTGGAAAACATTAGAATGTTGTTGATGAGAAGGATTAGGAAACATAGAGATGACATGAGTAGACACCCTGGTTCATTATGTCCTAGAATTGAGGAAAAATTGGATTATATTTCAACAGATGCTATGGGCTACGTTTGTGAATGGTCAGGTGTATCACAATTCCAAGTTAAAGGGCCATATGTTCAATTTGTTGTTGACTTAAGGGAGAAATCATGTGCATGTAGAAAGTGACAATTATGTGGAATCCCATGTGCACATGCAGTTTCTGCTATTTTGCACCAAGGAGACAAGCCTGAAAATTATGTGCATGAATGCTACTCAAAAGAATCCTATATGAATTTGTATAAGCATCTGATCAATCCCATTAATGGACCTGACTTGTGGCCAAGCTCTGGAAAAAGGCCTTTGAATCCACCTACATTAACTGTTCAGCTTGGCAGACCCAAAAAACAGAGGAGAAGAGAGGCAGATGAAAGGAGGAAAGAAGGAAAACTAGGGAAACGTGGGAAAGTTGTGATGACCTGCACTAAATGTGGGAAAGTTGGTCACAATCGTAGAAGTTGCACACCTGTAGAAGATTCAGCAACTGCAGCAGCAACAGGTGCAACTAATGCAGCACATTCAGCAACTGCAGTAGCAACAGATGTGTTGGAAATCAAGCCCACGTCACCCCCTGTCTGTGCATGTTCCTCTCCATATTTAGCATCCTCTGTTTACTTCCCTGAATTAGTGTAATGTACAGCCTNCAACAAATGTAGCAAATTCAGCAATTGTAGCAGCAAATGCAACAGATTCAGCAACTACCTCAAGAGCCAATATCCCAGGAACATCAATTGCAGTAGATTCAACAACTGAATGCAGGCCATTGTTACTAGCCAGAGCAATTAGGAAAAAATTACCAGTATGATTTTTTATTTATTAAAATCATTTCATTGTTACTAAACATAGTACTAAATTTATTTTTTATTATTTTTAGATTCGGAGGAATACAAGCAATCAAGCTGGAGCATTCATTCCACCCAAATCAACAGTTGCTGTCAATCTCAGTCCATCAGCACCACCCAACTGAAACAGAGCTGCAATGGATGTAAAAAGTCTGATTTTGTTTTTGAATGGAGCTACAATGGATGTATTCAACCTTTTTTTGTTATCTTTTGAATGGTTGATGTATTCAACCTTTTGAATGTATTCAACATTTGTTTTGTCACCTTTTGAATGGTTTTTGACAGTTGATGTATTCAAACTTTTTTTGTGAATCGTTGTTAGAATTACTGTATGGAATGTGTTTTCAATGCTATGGAATGTATTTTTTAATGCTATGGAATCGGTAGAAAATGACTTATAAATCCGTACCAAAAGCCATTTTCATTCATTAGGAATAGACATTACATTCAGTATAACATTAAACATGATGATCAGATTGCAAGGATCATCAATTACAACTACAAACATCCTTCTTCGATTCCTCTGCATCTACGTTTAGCAGCAGCCAAATTAGGAGACAGCAAACTCCTAATGCTACCCATAACATTTTCTCTCTTGCCTTAACCTTTCCTTGTTGAGCCTCTATAGTATTCAATTTTTGAAGAAGTCTTGGAATCACTTGTCGTGAATGAATGCACATTGGCGGGTCTTGCCAAATGAAAAACCCGCACCCACTATTCTGCATCATTAAAGTATGCAAGCAATAAACATTAAGAGGGAAAGGAAGAAAAAAAGGAATTCTCCATTCAAGCTAGATACCTACACCCATATTTGGACATGTCAAAAATCTTCTTCCGAGATTCTGATCTGTCCAAGAGGTTTTCTTTACAGCCCTCTTTCCGCAATTACAAAACACATCCATAAATCTCAAACTATATAGGTTCTCCTTTTCCTCTTTTTCTTGCTGAATGTGGCTCTAGTTCTACAAAACCCAGCACAACACACACAAAACTCTTTATGCTTTGCAAGGGAGAGAAGCTGTGAAAGATTGGCGCCAAAATAGTTGCTATTCCCTTAATTATCCTTGACTTTGCCTCATGTGAGTTATGCGTGCATTTTTCCGTTATAGTAAACGGCTGAATTGGATGGAAGAGCTTGATTGACATACATTGACAAGTTGAGGGGTTAAATTGACACAAATCAAAGTTGAGGGGTTTAATTAACTAAAATCATATAGTTTAAGAGCTAAATAAGTAGTTAACTCCTTACTTTATATATAAGTATGAAATATTACGTGATTAATGTTCGACTTTTAGTATTACGTAGTGTATATTAATTTCTTGAGAGAAGTCAATGAGATTTTTTCCAAAGCATCTGGGAGTTCGCCGGCACTGGCAATCCAAGCGGTCGCCGCATATACGGTTACGATTACCACAATGCCGCCGCAGCAGTCCATGCATGGTGATGTCATAAGCACAAAGCAACAACCACCGTAGAGGGCTCCACATTATCGTGGCAATCGTGCGGGCGTGAATGCCAAAGAGGAAACAATTTGTAAATGCCAAGAGTTGACAGCTACTGAAATTCTGAAACGCAAGTGGACGACATACAAAGGAAGAATGGAGAAACAATTTGGGAAGAGATTTGAAGGGAAGGTTGCGATTATCACGGCTTCGACTCAGGGCATCGGCTTCAGCATCGCTGAGCGTCTCGGCTTGGAAGGAGCCTCTGTTGTCGTCTCCTCTCGCAAACAGGTTGATTTCTGGATTTTTTTTTTCTTTTTGAAGAATTTAGACATTAACTCTGTTATTAACCCAACGTCGTTCCCAAAAGTCCCGGAGGTTAGAGTTCATAACTAACACGTTAGATTTCCCCATGCTCGGAGTCGACGTTCACGATGACCCACTCTCGACACTGATCCAACGGGAGCTCTTTCTTTTTGGCACTATGCTCATATATAATATTAAGACATTTTAATTCAGTCTATAAGTCGCACCTTCTGTAACTCGAATCCATGACGTGGTGCACGCCAAAGAGAAAGGGCTGTTGGATTAGTATCCATAGAGTGAGCCACCGTAGATGTTGATTCTGGATGTGGTAGAATGAATGTTATGTTCAAATAATTATGAACTCTAACTCTCACAAGTTATGTGGCTTTTGAATCGAAGGTTTGGTTCATAACAAACTCGTGTGGGTCTAAATTTTCCTCAAATTCGAATTCTATTATGCATAATCATGTACATCAGTTGTGGGTGTCCCTCAAATTTGGAATTGGTGAACATGTGAAGGGCTTTTGGAATAAGGGCAATTCAATCTGAATTTGAACTCGGGGCTTAAGAAGAACTTCCTCGAAAGAAAATTTTTTAGTTTTGATGAACAGAGCAGCTTGGTTTTTACTATTTGGGATTTCTTATTAGCTTAAATTTGATTTCCATTAGGTATGTGTTTGTGTACGTGTTTATTATATAATGGTTTAGTGATGAGCACATTTGTTACTGTTGTTCTGAACGGTTTACAGAAGAATGTAGACGAGGCAGTGGAACAGCTTAAAGCTCGAGGAATCGAAGTGTTAGGTGTGGTATGTCATGTGTCAAATGGACTGCAAAGGAAGAATCTGATTGACGAAACCATTCAGGTGATCTTGTGTGCTTGGGATTTGCAAATTTTAATATTCTCTTAATGCTCCCCCTCCCCAAAAACACACACACAGACACAAAACCCAAAATTGCTATTGTCTTGCATGGAAAATCAGTGCTGCGGCTGTTATGGATCAATTCTTTTGAGAGTTAATTTATGGTGGTGGCTTTATAAAACACTAAGATACAAATTTATCCTATTCGAGGAAGGAAAACACCAGATTTTCCTATTGCCACCAACTTGTGTGTTGCTGAACAGTAAACTCAGATTTACTTTTATCCTTTGGCACTTGTTTTTGCAGTTGTTCTTTGTTCCTGATTAAGAATCTTAGGCTTCTTTGTAATTCTGGTTTTTCGGCTTTCATGCAAGCAATCATTTTTTGTAAGTTTTATGTTATCCTGCAGTCTATATATGGTTATGTTAACACTATGTTTCTTTCCTACACTTATCATCTTTATTGCCAAAGGTTTTTTAGTGCTATTTTCTAACACTCATCCCTGCCCATGCCTGGTCAATAGATTTACTGCATGTATTTATTCTTCAAAGTTGGTTTTAAGGTTTACGTTAAAACATGACCTCCCTGTTTAGATCATGTCATTGTGTGAATATTTTTTATTAGGTAATGATATATTGTAGATGATTGAATATTTGAGAAGCCCAAGTAAAGAAGTACTATATAGAAAACCTTGTTTTTCTTTCTTTGCGATTATTCTTTTCTTTAGTTTTGGTTTTTGTGGCTTTAAATCTTCTATCAGTGTGGATTGTCATCTTGTATTTGTTTATCTTCAAGAGGGATTATTCGAGTTGATTCTTTTACTCTATTTAGGTCCAAATTTGTTAAATGGGACTTTGTGGTTTCGTTGCAGAAATATGGGAAAATAGATGTGATTGTCTCCAATGCTGCTGCTAATCCTTCTGCTGATCCCATTTTGGAAATTAAAGAATCAGTACTTGACAAACTTTGGGAAATTAATGTGAAGTCATCTATCCTTATTGTACAGGTTAGTCCATCTAATGATAAAAATCATGTTGAAATCAGAGCGACACGACGACAAGGCAGATGTGTGTGTATTATATGTTGAATGTAAATATGGGTACAAAAACATCGCTAGTTTTCTTGACCGTTTCTAGCAGTGCTTTAGATTGCCTTTTCCCATTTCACAATCTCTTTGTTCCTGTTCATGACTGTAACAATGCTCCCCCCCCCCCCAAAAAAAAAAATAAATAAATAAATTGTTTTTATTTTTTTCCAACTACAGGATGCAGCACCTCACTTGCAGAAGGGTTCATCTGTTATTTTTATTTCCTCTGCTGGTGCCTACCAACCACAAGCTTCCATGGCTATGTACGGGGTGACAAAAACAGCTCTTCTTGGTCTTACCAAGGTACTTGCCAAGGTTCTGATAACATGTTAGACTGAACCAGTTTTCTGATTTCACATTTATCTCTCTTGTGCTTTCATTTAGGCCCTTGCCACTGAGATGGCCCCTGATACCCGTGTAAACTGTATTGCCCCTGGTTTTGTGCCCACAAATTTTGCTGATTATATTACGAAAAATGATGCAGTTGTAAGTTGTTCAATGCTTTAGATGTATAGAGTTTTANAGATGCAACAAATGTAGCAAATTCAGCAATTGTAGCAGCAAATGCAACAGATTCAACAACTACCTCAAGAGCTAATATCCCAGGAACATCAATTGCAGCAGATTCAACAACTGAATGCAGGCCATTGTTACTAGCCAGAGCAATTAGGAAAAATTACCAGTATGATTTTTTATTTATTAAAATCATTTCATTGTTACTAAACATAGTACTAAATTTATTTTTTATTACTTTTAGATTCAGAGGAATACAAGCAATCAAGCTGGAGCGTTCATTCCACCCAAATCAACAGTTGCTGTCAATCTCAGTCCATCAGCACCACCCAACTGAAACAGAGCTGCAATGGATGTAAAAAGTTTGATTTTGTTTTTGAATGGAGCTACAATGGATGTATTCAACCTTTTTTTGTTATCTTTTGAATGGTTGATGTATTCAACCTTTTGAATGTATTCAACATTTGTTTTGTCACCTTTTGAATGGTTTTTGACAGTTGATGTATTCAAACTTTTTTTGTGAATCGTTGTTAGAATTACTGTATGGAATGTGTTTTCAATGCTATGGAATGTATATTTTAATGCTATGGAATCGGTAGAAAATGACTTATAAATCCATACCAAAAGCCATTTTCATTCATTAGGAATAGACATTACATTCAGTATAACATTAAACATGATGATCAGATTGCAAGGATCATCAATTACAACTACAAACATCCTTCTTCGATTCCTCTGCATCTACGTTTAGCAGCAGCCAAATTAGGAGACAGCAAACTCCTAATGCTACCCATAACATTTTCTCTCTTGCCTTAACCTTTCCTTGTTGAGCCTCTATAGTATTCAATTTTTGAAGAAGTCTTGGAATCACTTGTCGTGAATGAATGCACATTGGCGGGTCTTGCCAAATGAAAAACCCGCACCCACTATTCTGCATCATTAAAGTATGCAAGCAATAAACATTAAGAGGGAAAGGAAGAAAAAAAGGAATTCTCCATTCAAGCTAGATACCTACACCCATATTTGGACATGTCAAAAATCTTCTTCCGAGATTCTGATCTGTCCAAGAGGTTTTCTTTACAGCCCTCTTTCCGCAATTACAAAACACATCCATAAATCTCAAACTATATAGGTTCTCCTTTTCCTCTTTTTCTTGCTGAATGTGGCTCTAGTTCTACAAAACCCAGCACAACACACACAAAACTCTTTATGCTTTGCAAGGGAGAGAAGCTGTGAAAGATTGGCGCCAAAATAGTTGCTATTCCCTTAATTATCCTTGACTTTGCCTCATGTGAGTTATGCGTGCATTTTTCCGTTATAGTAAACGGCTGAATTGGATGGAAGAGCTTGATTGACATACATTGACAAGTTGAGGGGTTAAATTGACACAAATCAAAGTTGAGGGGTTTAATTAACTAAAATCATATAGTTTAAGAGCTAAATAAGTAGTTAACTCCTTACTTTATATATAAGTATGAAATATTACGTGATTAATGTTCGACTTTTAGTATTACGTAGTGTATATTAATTTCTTGAGAGAAGTCAATGAGATTTTTTCCAAAGCATCTGGGAGTTCGCCGGCACTGGCAATCCAAGCGGTCGCCGCATATACGGTTACGATTACCACAATGCCGCCGCAGCAGTCCATGCATGGTGATGTCATAAGCACAAAGCAACAACCACCGTAGAGGGCTCCACATTATCGTGGCAATCGTGCGGGCGTGAATGCCAAAGAGGAAACAATTTGTAAATGCCAAGAGTTGACAGCTACTGAAATTCTGAAACGCAAGTGGACGACATACAAAGGAAGAATGGAGAAACAATTTGGGAAGAGATTTGAAGGGAAGGTTGCGATTATCACGGCTTCGACTCAGGGCATCGGCTTCAGCATCGCTGAGCGTCTCGGCTTGGAAGGAGCCTCTGTTGTCGTCTCCTCTCGCAAACAGGTTGATTTCTGGATTTTTTTTTTCTTTTTGAAGAATTTAGACATTAACTCTGTTATTAACCCAACGTCGTTCCCAAAAGTCCCGGAGGTTAGAGTTCATAACTAACACGTTAGATTTCCCCATGCTCGGAGTCGACGTTCACGATGACCCACTCTCGACACTGATCCAACGGGAGCTCTTTCTTTTTGGCACTATGCTCATATATAATATTAAGACATTTTAATTCAGTCTATAAGTCGCACCTTCTGTAACTCGAAT